CGGGATACGCCCAGAGTCACGGAACGGATTAAGTTCGTATCCCGAGGTACCACTGTAATTCTATATATCAGCCTTCCCAAAACTGATATTCTTCACATGTGTTACAATGTTCCAGCTAGCACCTCACAGTCTTGCTAGCTAGGAATTCTGGCAGTTGGAGTCCCATCACACCGGCAAAGGACCAGCTTGGGCTGTTAAATGTGTTTTCTTGTAAAGAGGCTCCATTTAGTCAATGGGCTTAACTTCCAGATAAATGCGGTCTCAAATTCTTCTACATTCTGTGACTTGCACCCCAATAAATATAGTAGGATTCCAACCATGGAATGAAATGCTAATAATGTTTACTCAGTAAATTACTCCAAGTTTATGCAATGCACCAAGCCAGAAGGTGATTTGGTTTTGGCCTAACCTATTATGTAAATGCAGCCACTATGGTTGCTGAACCATGGCACATTACCTATAGTCCTCAGGTTATGACAACAACTGGAACCAGAATTGCCATTGCTAAGTGATGCGGTCATAAAGCATGATATCACATGATTGTATAACTTAGCGATGGCAGTTCTGGCAGTCCCGGTTGCCATCATTAAGCGAGGAACAAGAGGGTCATTAAGTGAGGACCTCATGTAACTGCAACTTCTGACTTCCTGCTGGCTTCCCCACTGACTTTGCTTGTGGGAAGCCAGCAGGGAATGTCAGAAATCACAGTCATGTGACCATGGGACCCTGCAGTGGCCAGAACTCTAAGGACCCATCATAACTTTGAATGGTTGCTGAACATATGATTATAAGTTGAGAACTACCTGCATATGAGTGGAATTAATTGTAGCAGATAGTACAAAATGTGATTAAGCAAACCATGGCTTATCATGATGCATAAAACCCAAAACTATGTTTTTCTGCTAAAATGCTACTGAGATCAATGAAATTTAATCCTTAGTATATGCATATAATAGGATTGCATTTTAATGTATGCTGTTTATGTTTTAGGAGTTCCAGGTATAAGGGGATATCCTGGTCCCCCAGGAGAGAAAGGTGAAACAGGTAATAAAATAATCAGATGCTGAAATTCAAGTAAAGTTTAATTTCTTTGCCAATTCTTGTTTTACATTTATTTTTATTTTCTCTATATTTTGGTTACAGGAGCCATGGGACTAAAAGGGACAAAAGGAGAACAAGGTGTTCCAGGTAGCCTACTTCAAGCTGGTGACTGGATTTATCCCTCAGTCCTCATGAGAAACCCTTAAATATCACTTCTTTTGTATAGGCCCTTGACAATTTCACTGGCCAGACCACAGAAGTCCAGTCCAGCATTTGTTTCAGTTGTAGACTGAAGTTCAGAGAAGTTCCGAAGCAAGACAGGAATCAGATGATGGTGCATGAGGAGTCTAGTTTTCAGTCTTGGGAAAAAGGAACATATTGTTAGTTATTTAATTTATTATCACTATATTTTTGCAGCTAGGAATAAGGATAGGGGCTTTCAGGATCTTCTCACTTGGGGGCATGAGGGAAACATTGGTAAGTCTTGGATACTCTGCATAGGTACCATGTTCTACTCCAGTTCATAGAACAAAATGTCTTGGGCTGCCCTTAGTTCCCAGTTCTATTTCTGATCAGAGATAGTCATGTCTCTAAATTTGGGAGTCCTTTTTAGCTTCCAAGGTTATGAATCTCATCCTCCAAATGTCTAATTTGGCCTTTTCAACCTTGGATCCCCACATGTCCCTGGACTGTTTCTTCAAACAATTCTGTTTATGGACCATGCCAAGGTGTTGAAAGGTTGATCTAAATGCATGCAACTTGAGCAACTCCATTTTCCAATGAAAGCCAGCAAGACCATTTTGGGGGAGTCCTCATCTGATGAAATTAAGACACTTTAGCATTCCACATGGAATAATATGGAATGCTGAACAATTCTCTCTTTTTTTTTCCAGTACAGTCAGGTTGTAACACTTATTTCAAGGGAATAGACAGCTTGTGCCAATTCCTGGTTGCATGACCATCACTGCAAAGAAGCCCACTTTCCCAATTTATACCATTCAAATTGGGGGGGGGGGTGATGACAGAAAGATTATCAGAGATAATATAAAGTTTCTGATGAGATTATGGGGCCAGTTGTCATAATTCCTCAAATGATTATATATTAGATTAGTTTCAAAGTCATAACGTGCTAACTGGGGGATACACAACTTGAGCAGCCTCAGTTCCCCTTTAGGGACCCCTGGAATTCCATGAACTATAGTTAGAACTCATCAAATCATAGTTTCTTGTCATTCTGGCAAGAAAAAAATGCAAAAAATGTAATGTAAAACCCAATGTTAAGTTTAAGATAATTTTCAGAACAATAGAAAGAAGCCCAAATTCACTCCAAACTTTAGAAAAATCAGTACATCCAGGCTTGTCCAGGTACATGACATGGCTCCATCCAGTTTGCATCATTGCCCTATCCGCTGCAACTTTCCATCCTCGTGGAAAATGGAAAATGTGACCCTGGGCACCAAAAAGCTGTCTACTCCATTGTAAACCAGATTTACTTAATCATACTATATTGAATTGGCCCAATTCCCTGGATTTGTTCAGCACACTGGACCATAAACTAGCTGCAAGCGCTTAATTCAAATGACCCACTGCAAATTAGCCAGTCTCATTTTTGCCTAAAGTATTGTATGAACCTGGCTCTTCTAGTTTCATACATCAAGTTAAGCCATAATTAGGCTTGCTTTTGGTGTGAACACAGCCATTATGGTTTGTTAAGCCATGATTTATGACTTAGCATTTTGTGGAAAGTCAGGCACTATGACAACCAGCCAAAGCAGGTCATAGTTTATCATAAGGAGCGAATCAGTCCTGAGACTACTATAGTATAAATGGCAATAAGGTTAAATCTCTTGTACTCAATATTGAATACAGAGTACAAGTGGCTCAATTAAAAGGAATTATTAAATGTACACATGTCTTTTATATCAGGTTTATCTGGACTAAATGGCGAAAAGGGATCAAAAGGGAATCTTGGGCCTGCTGGACCACAAGGTGAACCAGGAATGACAGGACAAAAGGGAGAGATGGGATCTCACGGTAAGATGAGTTGTCAAGAGCATTTATCATTTTGAAGTGAGAAAAATCGTTTCTTCCTAGCTGTACTTAGTAGAATGCAATCCTGCTGGTGCTATGACAAGAGAAAGAGATGAATGATAAACTGTCTTGATTCTCTTCGCTGTATCCGAAGTTTTGCGTGGCCGGTACTTTCTGGTACATAAAACAGAGGGCTGGGGCTGTGTAAATTGCAGTCTGGGGATGAAACAGGATCAGTGCATCCATGTAGCATGGCTGCCCACCAGAAATGTGTGATATTGTTTTTGTTGCCTGAGCTTGGCCTCAGGAAACAGATTATCAAGCTTAAAGCTACTGGTTTTGGGTTGTAGATCTAGGGAATCACTAGATGGCAGCTAAGAGTTGGGGTTTTCTTATATTTCTTTGCTGCCATCTATCATCTCCTAGATGTTTGCAGCTGAATTCAGTAATGCCTAATTACTGTACATTTTTCATATTCTAATATTTCATGACCATTTTATTATCTTCCTGTCTCTGATTACAATAGCAGTCCTTATGGTAAGTTTTATCAGGGAAGAATAAATGCTGTGTAATTCAGATACATATGTGCACTTCACTGATTAGGGATATTGTGAAGTTGATTTCCCCTCATGGTCTTCTCTTATCCCCTGTAAGCTAGAGTTTTAGCTAAATTAAACAGCAAAATTATGCAACATAAAATTTATATTAAATTGGCCTTCACGTGTCTTGAGATGTGTACTTTAAATATTATCTGACATTATTTGAGCATTAAACACATATTTAAGCATTAGTTAACCATTTTTTTAACTCCAACACCAGCCCAGCTGTGATGTTCAGAAGCTTAGGCAGGATTGGAGTTCATCCACTACCAGATTGTGGATGGATGCAGTCATATACCTGTGGAATTATCCAACAGCAGGCTGAAGCTAAGGCACCCGACAATCTGGCCCCCTGAACCCAGGAAGAGGCCAATGAGACAGAACTGGGGACCAGCAAGAAATTACTAGTCCCCCCTATTCCTGGAAAGGCGCTAGTTCTATGTCTCTTGCCTGACCTCCCTGTCCTGGTCAGCATGGCTACACTCTCCCCAACACTACTATCCCCCTGAGGCTTCTGACCCTGCCTCCCAGTCCTGACTGGAGCTGCCATCTTCACAAAAACCCGAAATCACACTGCCCAGTCCAGAATATTGCTCCTGCTATTCTCACTGGTACATTCATCAGCAACTTACTTATACCATTCAAACCATGAACCTAAGGCCCCCTTTCTCATCCCTTATTCTCACTAGGGCCCTTGGAAAGTGGACCTCCCCACTCCCCCTACTCTCAATGTAGGATGGAATCCTCTTCCAATCCCTGCTTTGTATCCATGGAGTTAAATCCTTACCTACCATAATCTTTCCCTTCCAATCCAACAGCTGTAGCCACATCATGATAGAGCTGGAAAACCTGGTGCATCTCAGCTCAGAGTGGCCACTGACTGGTGGCACCTCTTAAACCCCACTAGTGACCCTATATATCATCATCTGGCTTAGCAATATCTCTCCTCTGACCTCCATTATCTTGCTGTACTGATTCTGACAGAGCTTGCTCATTACCATAACTGCTCCAATCTTCCTTTATAAACAACATCCAGTATTCTCCATGGCCTTTGGCTCTTAGCCCCCTCCCAGCTACCTGTTTCCAATAGTGGCCACCATGCTGGCAGCTCATCCCCAGAAGCCCTAGTAATGCAGGACTCCACACCACTCTCATCACTGTCCAGTGATAAACTGTTCATTCTTTCTTTGTCCTCCAGAGTGGATCCTCTGTCTCCATTTTGCTTCCAAATTTGCAATTTCATTTCCTTTTTCCTTTTTGTCTTCTCTCTCTTCTACTGCCATCCATCCACATCAAATTCCATGCTTTCCAAACTACCTTAAAACTCCCCCCCCACACTTTATTTATTTTATGTAACTTATTTATATGCCCCCCCCCAATTTGCTTAGTGACTTATTCCCCTGTTCCACACTGTGATCACTCATTCATCCCAACCCCACCAAGGTAAAACCAAAAATCAACTTCTCCTGGTCACAGCAGTGAACTTGGGTACTATCTTTTAAAGAAGTTGCAAATTCAGTGTGTTGTAATTGTTAAAGCCTGAAGTTAAAAAAGTGTCTGTGGCCTAAATTAGCACAGTCTTTGTCAATATAGTGCCTTCTAGATGTGTAGATGGGCTTCATTTCTCATAATCCTCCAGCTAGTTGCCATTCTAGTTGGGAGTTATGGAGGTTACATTCTAAATCATGTAGAGACACCAGATTGAGAAAAGTTGTCTTAATTCATCATTCACATGACAAATGATCTCAAGTGCCTGTTGACCCAGAAACAAAATATACAGCTTCATCATTAGGAGAAAGAGTTAATTGACTGGCAGTGTGATTGTCCTCAGTGAAGCAGATATGAAGCAAATTAATAGCTGTTGGTGTTGTGTTATGATGAGGCTGCAACTAAAAACAAACCAAGAACTGTACAAATGAGAAAACTTCTGCCTTCATGCTTAGTGTATTGTAACCTGCTAAACAGGCTTACCAGGACTAAAAGGAGAAGCTGGTGAAAGAGGAGGCATGGGCCCAACAGGACTAACTGGTGCTTCGGGAAAGAAGGGAGAGAAGGGAGAACAAGGCCAGCTAGGTGAGTGAAAGCAACCAAGTGCTCTCTTCTCTCTGTGCGCCATATTTAGATCACAGGGCGATAGTCAAGTACTCCATATATTTTCATCCTTTATGCGACATTTACTATTTTCAAAAGTAAATAGTGGGAACATATTATGGGCTAGTATAACTAGAAATTCACCCAGCAACTACTCCTCAGACAACAAGCAAACCATAGTCAGCCACATTTTGGCAGCTCCCTTTCTTTCTTACTGGCATCTTAGTGGTCTTTGCCCTGCCAGATTAGTTGGTGTTTCCTGTTTTCTTTATTCATTTTGGGGGGGGGGTCAGAAAACATGGTGATTTAACTGAGGAGACAGCTGCCATACATGGAGTGGGAGAAAACCTGAGTTTCACATGTCACCTTCCATTGGGGGAGAAATAGAACTGGGAACAGTAGAGATCTTGTGGCAGTCTGAGGTCATTCATTCCTCTTGTCTCTGTGTCTTGAGACTCAGATTTAGCCACAGAGTAATAGGCACCACATTCAGATGAACAACATAGGTCTATAGGTGAGATCAGTATACAAGCCATGGTTATATAGGTTATGTTTAACCCATTGGTCTATAACCTGGGTTCCCACATCACATTAGACTTAACCATACCATGGCTTAGGGTATCATGAGAGTCAATTCTATGCCTTGCTTCTGAAAGGCTAAGAAAAAAAGCCAGGCAGATATTCTAATTGTGATGGAAGTGGTCTAAGCAAGCTTGTTCTGCTCCATGAATTCATTTCTCAGAATGCTGTTAATATGTATTCAAACTGTTATCCTATTGATCACTAGGGGCAATAGGAGTAGAGAGAACAGGCAATGGACCCTTTGTACTTCTGATTGTCCCTACTTTCCTTTTCCCTGATAGAAGACTGATGCTCTTAAGCTGTTCCCTCTAGCCTACTACCTATAGGAAGAAAGGAGTACTTTCTTCTTCTCATTTCCACCACTATGACATTAGAAAGCTCAGAGATGCAAGTTTATTTTTGGTGCCCTAGTCATCAGGTGGAAACCACAATGATGTACCATGAAGTCATCACGCAACTGACATACTGTACATTACATATTTTTTGTTGTTGGTGTGATGGCCTCATGAGACATTTAATATCACATCCCTTGCCCATGATTGGATCAAGTAACTTTCTTAATAAACACTATTCTCATCCTTTGAGGCCTTAAGCCTTAATTGTTTTGGTTCCACTCACATATATATGAACCCCAAGTGAGTGAACTGGAGAATTCCAAGCAGGTTTACCTCAAAAATGACAAATGTTTCCTGCTTTAGAATGGTAGCATCCAAATGATTGCTTTCAGGGACTTAATTACTTCTGTCAGGTGATGGCCACTTGGTAAATTCCACTATCTCTTCCCACAGCCTACACATCCCCTGAAAATCTAATCCGATGGATGGATGGATGGATGGATGGATGGATGGATGGATGGATGGGAGGGCGGGAGGGAGTGGG